GATCAAGGGCCAAATGCAAATCACAGACGGCGTATTGACGTAAGGAAAGCAGGCTTGGTAAGGTAAGCTAAACACTAAACAATATGCTTGTTATTTTACTAGGTAAAGCTCACTGAGCTATTAGATTTGTTTTCAGAATCAGATATTCATTTATTTATTGTGTACGTATGTATAACTTATTTCGTACCGTACTTAGCCAACACTGTTGATCGGTGATACTGGATGAATCCGATTAGCTCTAAAGCTCTTATTCAGAGACCTCCATTAGAAAGGTGGCTGATGGATGAGACTTGTGAAGGAATGGCAGCCCAAGGAGGGCACGTGGCCAAAAGGATGACCCACGGGACATTTCAAGTTTCATTTATTAGGTATAGCCCTGTGAGCCATTCGGCTCTTGAATCGGGTGCAACCGCAACAAACAAAAACATGAACAAATAAACATCTTAAAGTGAATATGTGACTAAGTGCAAACAGAAAATCCAAGAAAAGACAGCAAAATATTGCAGAAAAAGCACCGTACACCAACGCTGTGTGCAAAAATCCCAGTGGGATGCAAGTCAAACAACAACAACAACCACAAGACAACTTGGATTAAGGCCAACAGTCTAACTCCGTACTACAACAAACAAACATGGCCAAACCAATAAACTTTTAGAATTCGAAAATCACCAAAATAAAGCCATGAAAGCAATGAAACAGTGATCATAGGAGCTGTGACGGAATTGTCACAATAAATGACATAAACAACATGTACTACCAAAACCCTGCAGACAATGCAATACTTGTGCAGTGGCATTGGTGGATACCACTGCCAGTATACGTTAAGCCGGCCTGTGTGAGGCTAGACCAGAGGTCGCAACCGGGTACCCGATACCCGTACCCTACCCGATACCCGGCTACCCGTACCCGACCGGGTACGGGTACGGGTAGCCGTTTGCGACCCTGGTGCGGCCGGGTACGGGTACGGGTAGGCCGTGAGTTACTGGTGAGTAGCCGTTTGTCACTCATTTCGGGTAGGGTACGGGTAGGGTACGGGTAGGGAACGGGTAGGGAACGGGTACCCGTACCCGGCCGGGTACCCGGCCGGGTACGGGTACCCATTTGCGACCCTGGTGCGGCCGGGTACGGGTAAGGAATCAAAACCCGTTTGCGACCTCTGGGCTAGACACGCGCCGGTCACGCCGTCAACAGCGGTGCAGGAGGAGCGCAGTCCCGGGCCGAGCAAGGGCCGGCAGAGGTCGTCTTGCCGAGGATGGAGAGCGCTGCGCTCTGCGTGCAGTGCCAGCCTCTGAAGGGTAGGGGGCCCTGGGGCTGAGACGAGACCCCTTGAAAAAGCTCGAGAAGGGAGGCGTAGAAAGGGGCGGACGGAGCTCCCTGGTAGGTCTCGGCAAGGTCAGGTCATTTACCCTTTTTAAATCCTTTATATTAAGTTCGCTTGCTTGCTTGCGCGCTTACGACCGTGCAAATCTTTCGGTCGTTTTTTAACCCACTTCCCGTGATCCAATCGAGCTGACATTTTGCACACAGACTCGTTGTGCGTGACAATTAATTTTCGTGAAAAAGTTTTTCCAAAATGTTACACTTTTTAGGATTTTTTAAAAATATTTAATTACCAATTGCTTAATGGTGGCAGGCAATCATCTGACCCATAGGTGGCAGCCATCTCAAGCCAGAGGACGAGAGGACTCTAGCCGCCACGCATATAAAGGATTTATAGTGAAAAACTTTGTTTTTACGGGTTAATTTTTTACCGGCTAAAAGAGTAAAGGTGTCGACATGCCAAGGGGTAAGGTAAAGGGTTGGGTAAAGGTAGCGCGAAGTATTACCCGGTAAATACCTTGTTTACCGCTCGCTAAAAGCTCCGTGGCGCAGTCCGTGGCCTCTATTTAAAATTGGAATCATCGAGAGTATCCTATATGAATAAATCGCTCTACCTAGCATTTACCTGCTATAAACCTTTTTCATGTGTAGTAGTGCCCCAGTAATTACCCTGTAATCGGGTAATTTGTATAGGGTAAGGGTAAAAGGTAGGCTCGTTGCTTTTGACATTTTACCTTACCTTGCTAAAGGGTAAACAGTAAGGGTAGAGTGATTGTATTGTGGTAAGGTAGAAGTAGAGTAAAGGTAGGCTCGTTTTTACCCTACCTTGCCGAGGCCTACTCCCTGGGCCGGGAATATAAACCGGACCCCCAAACAGGTTAGGGGGGGGGCTGCCGACGAGAAGAAGCCGGGAATCCGTGATGCCAGGAGGAGACCTGCCGATAGACGTGACCCGGACCTAAGCCGGGGTCCGGTCGTGGCTAGCTACCCCGTGCAGCTAGGGAGGATTATCCCAGAGGAGTTACCTCCCTAGGGTAGCTGACAATGGGGCAGTTATACCCTTTCGTGTGTATTAGGGAAAGTTGTGATAAACGCGTGGCTTCCACGCCGTCTCCGACTGTCTTTGAGCTGGACACTACCTTTGCATTGTCTCTGTGTTCTCTGGTATAATTACCAGTGAGACGAGGCCGTACAGAAGGCGGTCTCTGGTGTAGGCCAATCAGTTTCAAAGACGATTATCGCAGCATGTGTGTTTGCATGTTCACCACAAGCACCGTGTGTGGTTAATGCAGCAACTTGATTCCTTGCAAAAGGTTTCTATTTGGGGTTTGAACATCTTAACACCTCCTGGTTTATTGACATAAAGGGTAAAACCTATTCATAGTTTTCATAATCAGAACACTTATAGCTGGAGCAGCTACATCTATTTTTAAACATCCTAACACCTGTTTTGTTGCCAGAAAGGATACAAAAAATTCATCATTTTCATACTGGCAAAAAGGTCGTATAGATTACCCCCCATTCGCCATTAAGTGACGGTGACGTCACCACGGCGCCTGTGCCATGCTAGGTGCACTTTGAGGCCACGTGAAGTGTCGAAAGCTCGCTGACAGGTCACGGGACAGACCCTGCAGGTGCCATGGGTTGGCTGACTGAGGTGATTCGCAGATGCACCAGCTGTACCCCTACTGTGCCAACTTGCCGCACTTTAGCCACCCGGCGCTCCGCTCGTTGTTGTGAGCGTCGCTCCTCTGCCCTCCGTTGTTGCTGGAGGGCGACTGCCTCCAACTGCCCAGTGGCAGTGTCCTTCACGAGCATCCTCCATAGGGGCCGATCTTGGCACCGCTAGTACTGGTCATCGGCAAGTCCACTCAGCTCCACGTCCTCCTGTACCACATCACTCCATCTCTTCTCCAGCCCGTGCCGTGCCTGTTTAGCCCCCCTCTATGCGGCCAAACAGAAGCTGCTTAGGCATGCGGTGGCTGGGCATGCGGGCTACATGGCCCAGCCAATGCAGCCTTGCCTGCCGGAGGAATTCACTGATGGGAATGTGCCGAGATCTTTCAAGGATTTGTGAGCTCCTCACACAATCCAGCCTGCAGGTTAAACCCAGGATGAATCGTAGGCATGCCAGCCTGAATGTTTCTAACCGACACAGATGTTCCATGAGAGGGGTCCACGTTTCACAAGCATAGAGACAGGAGGGCATGACTGTGGCGGAGCGACAGGTCAGGTAGCTTCCACACAGCGTTACGTAGCCGATGTAAACATAATTCCGCCCGACTGATTCGGAGTGAGACCTCTGCTGTTCAACCAGATCTGGCCATGAGCACACTGCCCAGGTATGGGAAACTCTCCACTCTCTCCACAATTTCTCCATCACCAATGGGGAGCTGAGGGGGTGGAGTGTTTGATGGCACAACATACCCAGGCAGGTGCTTCGTTATGGTGGGGCTTAAGGTTACACTCCAGTTACTCTTTGGTTCTTTCGGTAAAGTCACGTAGAAAGAAAATGAATTAAATAATAGCATACGACGTTTCGATTGCAACACAAGCAATCATCATCAGGTACAAATGAAAGAGAAAACAAACCTAGTAAACTTAGATATATAATGAAATACAACACAGAGAGTCGGCTAACATAACAGTCAACACCCTACCTGGTTAAATTTCGATTTAAAGCTTTCGTGACTGCAGGGAATTCATCTTCTTGGTTCTTTCGGTAAAGTCACGTAGAAGGGAAGTAATAAAATAATAAAAATAAAACATAACAAAATTATTTTATTTTATTATAAAACATAATAAAATTAGTTTATTTTATTATGTTTTATTTTTTATTATTTTATTACTTCCCTTCTACGTGACTTTACCGAAAGAACCAAGAAGACCCTACCTGGTTGATTACGTTCTTCCCAATATTGCTAAATTTAGCAGCAGCACCTGCAAATCCTCCTCTGAGTGAGCAGCAATCACCAGATGGGAATGTGTCCAGACCCCTCTACCCCCCTACCCCCCCACACCCCCCCTACCTTTCCTACCCCTCCCACCCCCCATACCCCTCCCTCCCACCCCCTTTACCCCTCCCACCACATTCTTGGTTCTTTCGGTAAAGTCACGTAGATAGAAAATAAAAGTGTTACAATTAAAAATTAATTGAAAATAATAAAATAATAGAAACCACCCCCTTTGACCCCTCCCACCCCCTCTAAAAATTCATTGAAAATAATAAAATAATAAAACCACCCCCTTTGACCCCTCCCACCTCCTCTAACACTCCCACCTTCTTAAAAATTAATTGAAAATAATAAAATAATAAAAACCACTCCTTTGACCCCTCCCACCTCCTCTAACACTCCCACCTTCTTAAAAAATTAATTGAAAATAATAAAATAATAAAAACCACTCCTTTGACCCCTCCCACCTCCTCTAACACTCCCACCTTCTTAAAAAATTAATTGAAAATAATAAAATAATAAAAACCATCCCTTCCACCCCTCCCACCCCCTCAAGCTTGAGTGGGGGGGGGGAGTGGGGGGATCCGGATCCGCACCCCCCTTCACCCCTCCCACCCCCTCTACCCCTCCCCCTTCCTCAAGCTTGAGTCGGGGGAGGGGGGAGTGGGGGGATCCGGATCCGCACCCCCCTTCACCCCCCTCCCCCTCAAGCTTGAGTCGAGGGAGGGGGGATCCGGATCCGCACCCCCCGCCCCCCGAATCCGTGAGCTCGAGAAGCCGCCGAGTGTCGCGTTCTCTCTCCCGCAGCAGCAGCAGCCGTCACCACCAGCACCACCATCATCAGCAGGGCCTTCATCATCATCAGCACCACCACCACTACCACCAGCACCAGCATCAGCAGCAGCATCATCAGCAGCATCATCAGCAGCATCAGCTCGGGCCTTCACCGCCACCATCACCATGTTCCACGGCGTCTCCAGACTTCTCCTCGTGCTGCTGCTGGCGATGCCGCTCGCCGTGCTGCTAAACGGCAGAGGTAGGTCAACAACAACAACAACGACAACAACAACAATGCATCTAACGTGTTGTTGTTGTTGTTTGTTTTGTGTTGAAACGCTCATAGCCGACGACGAGATTTGACTGTCGGATTCGACTGAAGCGAGCGACGTTGCGGTCAATGGGGGGGGGGGGGGGCGTTCGCTTGTTCGCGTGAGGGGATATAAAAAAACACAAAAATTAACGCGATTTCTTTACAAACGAGCGTCTTGTTTAAAGCGACGCGTTGTGTGTTTTTAAATCGCTGGTAAAAGTTTAGCGGCGGTGGCGGCGGCGTTGAGGGGGTTTGAGTCATTCAGTGCAGCTTTTGCTGAGGGGGAGAGGAATGAACGCTGACGTGGCCCTGCCGAGGGCCCCTCCCCCCTCCTCCTCCCCCTTCCTCCTCCCCCCTTCCCCCCCCCTTCTTCACCCCCTCCCCCTTCACCTCCTCCCCCCCCTCCTCCCCTCCCCCCTTCCTCACCCTTCCCCCCCTCGCATTTTGCCACCGCGATCGACGTCGACCGTTGGTTGCCCCCCCCCGTTGCCCCCTCCCGTTCCTCCCCCCGTTGCCCCCCCCCCGTTGCCCCCTCCCCGTTTCCTCCCCCCGTTGCCTCCCCCCCCCCCGTTGCCCCCCCCGTTCCTCCCCCCATTGCCCCCCTCCGTTGCCCCCCCCCGTTGCTCCCCCCGTTGCCCCCCCCCCGTTGCTCCCCCCGTTGCCCCCCCCCGTTTCCTCCCCCCCCCGTTGCCCCCCCCCCGTTGCCCCCCCCCGTTGCCCCCCCCCTGTTCTCCCCCCTCCGTTGTCCCCCCCCCGTTGCCCCCCCCGTTTCCCCCTCCGTTGCCCCCCCCCCGTTGCCCCCCCCCCCGTTCCCCCCCCCCCGTTCCCCCCCCCCCGTTCCCCCCCCCCCGTTCCCCCCCCCCCGTTCCCCACCCCCCCCGTTCCCCCCCCCCCCCGTTTCCCCCCCCCCCCGTTGCCCCCCCCCCTCCTGGCGTCCACGTGGCGGCGGCGCGAGGCAACTGGGACGGGGCCCCGCGAACTCTCTCGGGGCACCCTCCTCGCCTTGCTCGCCTCGCCCGCCTCGCCGCGTCTAGAGCGGACTAGGAATTGCAAAAGGCTCTGGGGGAATCTTTTTTTTCTTTAAATATTTTTTTCGTGCGCTCGTTGAAGTCGTGGCACTGGGGCGAGGGGGGGGGGAGACGCACGCTTTGATCGCATTCGACGGTGCCGAATTTGCGGCCCGTGGTCGAACTCGTGGTCGTGGTGGTGGTTTTAGGGTTTTTTTCCCATTTTCTTTTTGTTTTTAAACCAGTTATACCGTCCACCACCCTGACACGGCCAATCAGCAAAAACGTGTCACGTTGACAAAAATCTCTCATTTACTTGATACAGCTGTCGGGCTGTGACGGTTCCACCTGAAGACGGAAGCTTGTGTTGCCTCCGAAACGTCGTGATTTTAATTTTTTATTTTATTTTACTTTTATTAATTTAACATTTTTTACCTACGTGACTTTACCGAAAAAAACCTAAGAATATAGTTCACTGCTTTAGCCCACCGGTGTGTTGAAGAGTGAAAACACAACATTAAAAAATTTTGAGTAGTACGACGTTTCGCTGATAATTGCATCCAGCATCATCGGGCAATTCGCCAGAATGGTGAGGCTCTGCTCTTGCTTCCGGTCTTAAATATAAATAACACGATCTAACCCAATAACGTTGATTATGAATAATATTGGTCGCGAAAGCCTACGTGATCTCACTGCGACTCGGCGCAATTTTCACACGGGCCGCAACCATATGGTGTGGTCAGGCACACGACCCGTCACTTTAACACGCAGTAAAGAAGGCTTTCGCGACCAATATCGATCAAATACAGGGGTTTTTTTTCTCGAGGTCGTGGGTTTAGATCGCGTAAATATATAAATGTGTCGTTAAAACCCGCCACCACCCGACACGGCCATTACTTTCCATCACGGTCAAAATTATTTCTCGAACCTGCTGTGTATTGTTTAATTCACCCCTTCATCCCCTCGTCCCCCCCCCCTGTGCATTGCCACATGATACGTAATTTCGTTAAACTATCATTTGTGACCAAGTCGCTTCTGGAAAAGAAGCTTAATAGCTCAGTGGGCCTTACCTGGTAAAAAATAAAATCTCCTTGGCCACTACTGTATCTTGTAAGTGAATTATTTTCCACTTCAAATCCATTCAACTAAGGTTCAATATGTTTTTTTGAATTACGATACCTCTGTAACTTGGGGAACAGGGGGGCATGACGATTACAGATGACCAAATATGAAGTTGTGAGCATGTGTATGTGTGAAAAATAAAATGTATAACTATGCAAATCACTTTAGCCATGACGGCTTACCATACTGATAATTAAATTATCCTGAGGACAAACACATGTTGGAAATCTTACATAATATGTGTGTGCATTGCATTATTTTATATTAGTTTTGCAGTAAAATTTCTTGCTGTGGATTTCACACCTGATGATGATTGCTTGTGTTGCAGTCGAAACGTCGTGATAATTTGTATTGCTTTATATTTTTATTATTTTATTATTTCCCTTCTACGTGACTTTACCGAATGAACCAAGAATAGGAATCCCTGCAGTCACGAAAGCTTTAAATAAAAAAATCGTTTTGCAGTGTTAGGCTGCCACCATATGGATGTATAAAAGGTTTGTTGTAACCCGACTCACCTCATCCTGGTAGTCGTACCCATTGAGAGACGTAGACTCAGTGTCAGCGGGTTCTCAGCTGGTGGAATAAGAGGTAACTAACGCATCCATTGGCATGCATCCTTCTCTCTCCCGATCCATGTGTTTCTCTCTCTCCGTCCATTTCATCATGTCTGGGCTAACCACGAGGTTGGCATTGCCGATTGAACTCTCCCTCGATCTCGCCTGTTCCTCAACCTCATGTGTTTTAGCTGGATGTGATTTTATTTCGCCTTTGCAGTCTCATGTTCTGAATCCCAGTCCTTGGGCACCGCCTTTAGTCGATTTGCATTCAAATAGTGCCTTGTCAGATGGTTGGGATGCGTTTTTGGGTTGTACTGCGGCTTTGTTTGGCGCCGTGACGTTTCGCACAACCACATACGTGGTGGGATCTTCATCAATTCAGCCGATGATGAAGAAGCTGCCACCAGGACGAGGAGCGGAACGTCAGACATCGTGCCGAATAGCACGCGGTACATCCCAGAAACACATCGGAGAGCTGTCCTTCATAACCGCATAGACCTATGCAGCAGCAGTAGTTTTGGATAGTTTTCTGGATCTATTGATATGCCCAAATAACCGTAGTTTTCTTCATAACGACGACGAAAATTGGGTGTAGTAATTGTGCTCCACTTGCATTCATTAGTAACATATGCTATTCGTGGGATTCGTAGTACCCCTTAAGAGCATGGTTAATTGTAATACTCTCAAGCTGACAAGAGAGCATACGCTTCTCATCCGCGCAGTGTATCAGTGTAATTCTGAGCATGTGTCTCTCCCCACACTTCTTTACACACTATTCAGATCTTATTCTTGGTTCTTTCGGTAAAATAAAAATATAAGATATTATTATTATTTCCCTTCTACGTGACTTTACCGAAAGAACCAAGAATATGAATCCTTGCAGTCACGAAAGCTTTAAATCAAAATTTTATTCAGATCTTGTTTAGGTTTATTTATTACAGCATATCATAAGCAATAAGATCAATGTTCTTTATGCACAGCCTTGTTTTGTATCAATCCACCACTTAGTGAAGTCCTTCTCCACACATTGCATGAAGTTGGGGGTTGTTTGACGACACTCCACGCTGGTCAGTGCGTGTCGGTGAGGACGGGGAGACTAAATGTGGAAGCATACAAGTACAGTACGGTATAACATTGGGGTTTTTCTGCACCACCCTCTACTGCTCACCACGTAGGCCCACAGCAGTCTATCACACAGCAGTCTACAACACTTGTTTCATGCATAGCCGTTGCCCATCCGAGCACTATCCATGCTCATTCCTACTTCACGCCTGAGATCCGATGAGATTGGGCACATTCCTGGTGATTTTGTCATCTGCACGATGAATTATTGCCAAGTAATTTTACACTTCCTGTTTACTGCAACTTCAGTGAAGTCTGCCTTGAAATTCCCAGCAAGTTTTATAAGTCTCATTGAATCAACGTGAACTTGTACTTATGAGAGCAACTATACCCACGTATTCAATCTTCCAGCATTGATGGACACCCATCCAAGCGTTATTCATGCTCAACCCTGCTTAGCAGAGGTCGCAAACGGGTTTTGATTCCTTACCCGTCACAGGCCGCACCAGGGTCGCAAATAGGTACCCGTACCCGGCTGGGTACGGGTACCCGTTCCCTACCCGTATCCCTACCCAAAATGAGTGACAAACGGTTACTCACCAGTGACTCACGGCCTACCCGTACCCGGCCGGGTACGGGTAGCCGGGTATCGGGTAGGGTACGGGTATCGGGTACCCGGTTGCGACCTCTGTTGCTTAGTTACCCAAATCCATTCGGGGTTAAGTAGTCATGGGCACCATCATCATATTTCACTCTCCGTGGATTGAGCTATTGACAGTAATATGACGAGGCCGTTATATGAACTTGGGATAGAAAATTACAGTCACACCATACACACATAACAAAGAACTCAACGCACTTGCCAACAGGGCTGGCTGCCTCAGACGGAAACTTAAATCACGGACGTTTTGGGCAATGGAAGTTCTTCAATGCACATACACAAGCCCATACACAAGCCCATACACAAGCCCATACACAAGCCCATACACAAGCCCATACACAAGCCCATACACAAGCCCATACACAAGCCCATACACAAGCCCATACACAAGCCCATACACAAGCCCATAGCTGTCAACCCCTTATCAGTGCCTACCTTATTACAGACCACTTCAGACCTTATTGGACACTCCGTGCCCTTATAAATCTCCACGTTTATCATACAAAGTCCCGTCATAAGGGAGAAACACAAATAAATTGACAATTATTATTTTTGCCTGGATGAAAACGGCTGTACTCCGTATGGACCTGAACTCACTTTCCATGTACAAGAATACGGGTAAACCGTATGGGTTGACAGATATGCAAATGGGTGAATGGGGGAAAAAATGAATGCAGACTGCTTTTAACATGTGAAAATACCCTGGCGTACTTATTAGTAAGTGAATGTGTGTGAGATTGAGAATACATTCTTGTCTGTAAAACGGTGAGATTTGTGAACATCTCCGGTGTGTTTTTGGGTTATACCGAAAACATAGAGTACAACTGCACGAACCTACACACTGGTACGCCACCAGATGTTGGCGGACCATTGGTAGGGCTGAAATGTGACGATTGGAGTGCAGCATGTACTGTGCAGTCACCACCGTCGTCGTCATAACAACAATGTGATTTCAGGTCCTGCGTTTGCTCGAGCTGACGAAGATGCGACCGATGACGAAGTAGACGCAGCGGTGGAGGAGGACGAGGAGGAGGACGAGGAGGACGACGCGGAGGTGGAAGATGAAGAACCGCAGACAGCCATGGTGATGACTTGCGGCGGTGGCGGCTTTCTTGTGCTCCGTTATCCTGAACGCAACTCTGCAACCGTCGTCATTATAACAAAAATTCACAATGGGGGGAAAAAATGTTAATCACTTTGTTTTGCAGTGATTTGCATGCAAAGGACCAATATTTTTACAGCCCTGTTCTAACTCTATTTAGGTGGCAGGGTGGCACAGTGGTCATGCTTGTGCCCGTCCCTACTGGACATCTGCGAAAAAGCTTTATAGCTCATCGGATCCCTCCAGTATAAATACATATTCTGAGTTTGATTATTCTGATTCTGAAGAAGTGTCTGGGTTCATATTCCTGATCGGGCACCTTTCTGCGTGGGATTTGTATGTTCTCCCCCCCTGTGTTCTGCATGGGTTTCCTCCGGGCTCTGCTTCCTCCCGTATATCAAAAACGCACAATGGAAAACATCTCAATTTAGCAGGACCCTCCGGAAAAACAGTGGGGGGACTATCCCTTAGAGTGGGGGCCATATCGTGCCCTGTGTAATCTGGATGTGTGTGAAAAAATTGCTTCATAGCTCATCGGATTCCTCCAGTCTCGATCAAGATTCTGATTCTGTATTCGTGTCCCGTTTATGCGACAGACGGGAGAAGACGCGGAAGAGGAAGAGGAAGGGGGCACGGGGGAGCCCACCGCTTCCCCGCATGCTCACACCACCATCCTCTTCGTCAAGGGAGATGGTAGTACCTCTTTCTCCTCCTCCTTGGCTGTTCCCTATGTCTAACACCGCTCTTCCCAAAGCTATTTTGCCGTTCTTTCTGTGTTGGTTTTAAGCACCATATACGTATGGACTGAGTTTGTGAACGATGTATATTCGAAGGATGTCTGGAATGGCGAGAAAGTCATCATTTGATGGGATGAGCAATCGTTTTTGCACGACAATTGAACTGCACCAAGTATCAACACGAGGGTTTTGCGTGAAATTGCACAAGGGTTTGCATCGGATGTTGGTTCTGTATCGGACGAATTAATGCAGTTGTGGTAGTTTTTGACCTCTGTGTACTCTTAATTTAAAGTTAACAGCAGTTACCGCTCAGTCCTTTGAAGGTTTGGCAAAGCTCGTTTTGACGCCTTTTAGAATGTTCACGAACGCTGGATGCGAACTCGTTTTCTTTCGTCGCAGACTTCCCCGCCAACCGCGTTGTCAAGTTCCTCGTCGGCTTCTCCAACAACGGCTCGGAGGAGTTTGTCGTCGAGTCTCTCGATGCCTCCTTCCGCTACCCCCAGGACTTCCAGTTCTACATCCAGAACGTGAGCGCAAGAGTTCACTCGTTCTCTCGCTCAGTCACTCACTCGCTCGCTCACTCGGATTCATTCGCTTGTCCGCTCGCTTGCTCATTCACACAGCGCTCATTCACTCACTTGACCTGTCCGTCCCTTGCTTATCCGCTTATTCACTCACACACCCACCCAACGATTGACTCACCGGCTCACTTGCTCATGAAACCAGTACTCACTCACTCTTCAGTTTAGCTTGCACACAGCGTTGGTGTACGGTTTTTTTTCTTCAATATTTTGCTGTCTTTTCTTGGATTTTCTGTTTGCACTTAGTCACATATTCACTTTAAGATGTTTTTTGTTCATGTTTTTTGTTTGTTGCGGTTGCACCCGATTCAAGAGCCGAATGGCTCACAGGGTTATACCTAATAAATGAACTTGAACTCATAGACTCACTCACTCTCTTGCTCGCTCACGGACTTTTTATTCGCCGAGTGTTCCGTTCACCGTCAGCGCCGAGCTACGTGTGCCGCCGTGTGCCCCTCCAGTTCACGGCGCTGCAGCTGGACACGCTGGTGAAGCCCCATCACCAAGCGACCTTCGAGTACTCCTTCATCCCTGCCGAGCCCATGGGGGGGCGCCCCTTCGGCCTGGTCATCAGCCTGGGATACCGCGACGCTACGGTACGCGCCTACGCACTGCTCACGATCGCACGATGCGCGCGTGTACGATCGCACGTACGCGCATACTCACGATCGCGCGTAAGCACGCTTACGATTACACGTACGCGCTTGAACGATCACACGTACTTCGCGATCACACAGAAGGATGCTTACGATTGCACGTACTGCGTGTACGATCACACGAACGCTCGTGGTCGCGCGTTAGCACACTTACGATTGCACGTTAGTGTGTGTACGATTGCACGTTTGTGTGTGTATGATCACACGTACACTCGTGACCACATGTACATGTGCTCACGGTCACATTTGCACACGTACATGTGCTCATGGTCACATTTGCACACGTACACGCATGCATGACCGCATATGCACGCGTGTACGATTGCAAGTCCACGCGTTGGTGATTTATTTTGGTTTATTTATTTTTCCGTTGTGAACTCGAGCTGTGCAGAAAAAATATCCCTATGCGCAAATATTAATTATATTACAAATAATTCACGGACCTTTGTCAAACCACTGCTGGTTGAAGGGCCTTCCCATGCCGTGTCGGTCATGAGAATTTTTTTTTACCATACCTCACCATGCTGCTAAGTGCAGGTCGGTGAAGTATGCCCATTATTGTGCATTAGATTTGAAGGTTATGCGCAATTTGTATTTATAATCTGCACAGCTTTCAGTGACGTCGTAGTGGTGGTAGAGAAGGGGGCCGTGCTGTTAATGTCGATGGTGTTGGCATGCGTCCCCTCCCTTGTCTGCAGGCGCAGTACCGTGACGCCGTTTTCAACCAAACCGTAACCGTCACCGAGCCGGATGAGGGAATCGACGGAGAGACGTGAGTGTAGGGGCATGCGAGGCGAGCGTGGGCGAGTGAGCGTGGGCGAGCGTGGGCATGCGAGGCGAGCGTGGGCGAGCGTCACCACCTGCGGTTGTGGGCAGTTGTGTGAATGGGAGAGCGCACGCGTCGGTGGTGAGAATAGCCAAGTGTGAATGTTAGCGTGAGCGAGTTGGTGTCGAGTGCGTGCCGGTGTGAAGGTGAGCGAGTCTGAGCTAAGCATGGGTGAGAGTGAGTGGGCGTGTGCGGGTTAGCAGCAAGTGTGAATATGAACGAGTGTGGGGTATCATAAGTGTTGGTGAGTGTTAGCAGATTATGTTGATTTGAGCAAGTCTGAGCTAAGTTATTTGCGGGTGCGTGAGTTAGCAGCAAGTATGAATGTGAGCGAGTGTGACATAGCGTAAGTATAGGGAACGGTAGTGTAGCGGTAAGCGCGCTGCGTTATGAACCCGGCGACCCGAGTTTGATTCCCGCTCACTGCCAACACTAGTGACGATTATCTGAACCTGGTCCTGGGCCCCTCCTCTAGCTCAACTCTGCCTCAAATGAGTATCTGGTGCGATGCGTAAACATCGCCACTAGGAGACAAAGGCGGTCGGGCGTGGTGCTGGCCACCCACTCCATAATGTTCTGTGCTGGAATTCATAGGTGCTCTCTAATGGCACTTGGCCCAAAAGTCTATGAAGGCTATACTGGGGGAGGGGGGATCTTTGTCCTTGTATGCGTGAGCTCCTGCAAGTTCGAGTCCCGCCGTGATTGTGAGCTGACGTGAGTGTGCGTTAGAGCGGGAGTGAGTGGAACGTGTCGCCGTGTACCCCAGGTTCTTCATGTACATGTTCCTCGCCGGGCTGGTGGTGCTGCTCCTGGTCGGCGCACACCAGCTGCTTGAGTCTCGCAAGGTGAGTGAGAGCCATCTTCTTGGTTCTTTCGGTAAAGTCACGTAGAAGGGAAATAATACAATAATAAAAATAAAACATAATAAAATAATTCTCACGACGTTTCGGCCACAACGCAAGCAGCCGTCTTCAGGTGAAGAACAGGTCTGTCGGAAAGACAGCGTCTGAGCGAGCCAGTGGATGGCTTCAGGAGTAGCCTGGTGAATTACAGAAAAAAACACCCCCGTAGACTTACACACAGACGTACATGGAGACACTTGGACATACAGAGAACTAAACTCGACGATTTTTATTTTAGCAGGTGAGGCCCACTGAGCTATGTGGCTCTCTTTCAGAAGCAACCTGGCCACAAATGATAGCTTGTACGGTAGTGGCTTATCACGTGGACATTCATAGCAGCCAAATACTCTAAATGCATGTTTATAAATGTGGAGGGTAAAACCGGAGTACCCGGAGAAAAATCGTTCGACCACGGGGATAACATGCAAACTCTAAATAATCAGGCGCCAGGGTCGAAATCTAAGCCACAACCTCCTGTATACCAGGCAACAGTGGTTAACGTCTCGACACCACTTGAGGCGATAGAGACCTATCGCCTTAGATGTGCTTCCATAGACTCGAACAGACACCTGGTGAATGTGTGAAATTCTGCCGGAAAACCGATCATCAGTGGGCAGGAATGTTTCTGTGTGTTACATGGTTTTGCATGTAGACTCACTCGCATGGTAATTCACAGGCGACGTTTCGGGCAGTAGCCCTTCTTTACAGCACGTAGAGAGGCCAGGTCAGGTAGGTCAACCTGCCCGTCCGCTCTCTCTGCTGTGAATATGGGTCACTGCCCGAATAGTCGCCTATTCCATACTTTTTCATTTTAAGGCGATGTTATTGACGAATGTTTTGAGATTTTTTTGTTAATTACGCTTGCATACCACTGCCAATGGAGTTATCGCCAACTAATTTGAGACGCATAGACTCACGTGGGCATTCATAGACTCACACAGACACCTGGTGCATCTTTGAAACGCTGCCTGCAAACGATGGAGGCGGGGCAGTCGCCTTACTGTGTGGTCCATGGTTTTAGGCTGGTGACTACAGTGGCACGGGGGTTGGGCTATTCTTAATTGTCCACCAGTGTTGGAGATAGCCGCATCTGCCGTGCGATGTTCTGAAGTGGAGATGGGGCAGTGCGATTCCAACGTAAGATGAACGTATGCCCTCGGCTGTGCTCGGTGTGACTGCGCTTAATCACGCACGTGTCGCTCGCTCGCTCGACAAGTCAGACCTCACCGTGTGTGTCTGTGCGCCTGTCCGTCGTGTCTGTGTCCAGCGCAAGCGTCCGGGCGCGAAGCCCGTGGAGATGGGGACGTCTAATCCGAACGGCGTGGATATGAGCTGGATCCCACAGGAGACCCTCAACCATATGAGTGAGTCGTTAACGCTTGCCCACTTGCGAGCACCCTTTGCTCGCTCGCTCACTCCCCAGATTGCTCACTTGCTGACCGACTCGCGTTTACGCCTGGCCACTCGGTCACAAGCCAACTCGCTTCCGCATTCACTGTCTCGCTCACGCTCGTGCTCACATATTCACTTGGTGCGAGCGAGTCGTTTTACGCTCGCCTTCTTGCTAGCGCTGCCGTTGGCCCGATTTCACTGGTCATATTTTTCCCACTTGTGGTCTCGCTCGCTCGATTTCCCCTACTATGATTTGCCTGCCGACTCCCTGGCACAAATGGCTCACTCGCTCGACCCACTCGCTTATTCACTGAACCACGCAAGCGAGATATTCTCGTTAGTTCCTTGTCGAGCGCTATTGTTAACATCTCTTCGTCCGCTAACTTATTGACCAACTGGCGTTTCGGCCCGCTCGGTCTCACTTCCTCATTCACTATCTCTCTCAAATCACATGGTCAGAGTGCCGTAGTTTGCGTTCCCGTATCGTGCAAGTCGCGCAAGCCTCATCTTAGTTTCCCACATTAGCCTGCTGGCGCGACACAATGCCGTCCCGTTGGGGCTACCCCTATGTTACGCCAAGAGGCCTTGCAATGAAGGTGTTCAATTGTGGTCCCCAATTAGATTTAAAACTAATTTCTTGAGAACTGCTTTTTTTCTTTTCGTTTGTTGTCTTTCCCCGGCACCTTCGATTAGCACGGTTGACTACGTACGGTGCGGATTAAGTTCAACATAGTACACACATACATTACCCCCGAGGTTTGTAGTTTGAACACGTGAGCTGTTCTTTTTGTGAATTTAGTTGAGCGTAAAAATCCTGACCCCCCCCCCACTTCCCTTCCCTGGCTTCGGTCACACTCTGCACCGTGCCGCGCTTTCTGTTTTTCTCACGTCCGCCGTCTTGCGCTCACCGTCTGTCCTCTCGTGCGTGACCGTGTGCCTCCGCCGATTCCCAAGAGCTAAGCCGGAGAGGTGAGTTGTGTGCGGCGCATGTCCTTGCGATGTTTTTTTTATGGCGATGGTTGTTTCGTGCCGTAAACTATTTTGATTTTACCAGGTAAGGCCCACTGAGCAATATGGCTCTTTTTTCAGAAGCGGTGATGACTCAACAAAGTGGCTTATCATCACGTGGACATTTATAGCAGCCAAATACTCTAAAACGTGTGACGTTGATTCTAAATACTGGAGGGAAAAACTGGGGGACCCGGAGAAAAATCCACACGACCACGGGGAGAACATGCAAGCTTCAAATATGCAGCAGGTGTCAGGGTCGTTATCGGGCCCGTCACGTCCTGTATACCAGGCGTGGAGGCTGTGCATTTCCAGGAGTCGCACTTTTGCAAATACAGTCAAAATTCTCTGTCCCTTCGTGTCTTTTGCATGGTGTGTGTACAGCGACCATTAGAGATGCACTTGCAAGTGATTTAGCTATGCAATTGCTTTGCATGAGAGTTGATGAATTGCAGATATACTGCCTTCAAATTCACGTAAATTAATGCACGATGCTGATGAAATTGGTATTTTTGTACATGAGAAATAACTCTTATTTATCTACGTTAGTGTCAGGGGTTTCACTGTGGTAACACTTGAGCCACACAGGACGAAGGACCTGGGTTCAATTCCCGACTCTGGCACCTTTCTGCGTAGAGTTCGTAGGTTCTCCCCCCTGTGTTCTGCTTGTGTTTCCTTCTCGGGCGTCCTGTCATAGCTAAACACACACAGAGTGTCATTGGTGTTGGCCAAATACCCAGATGTAGCGGGACCCTCTTGAAAAAGAGCCTTCCGACTCGGTGCGGCGTTCCTGAATAAATACGTAATTAGTATCCTACAGCTGCTGCTTAGCAACTGTAATTCTCAATCCACTTCTGGATTGAAGCCTTCTCAAATGTGGACTTTGTTTTTCCTTCAAGAGTATGCGGTTCTAGTTTTCCATATTTGTCCACATCCTGTCCTTTCTGTCCACCGTTGTATTTTACTTATCACCCTTCGTTTGGCTGTCCTCCCTGTCTGTTTCCCATACTGTGGCTTGCCAAAGTTGCAGAGGCATGTTCATGCATTAACAGACTAATTCATGGTTTGCTAATGAAATGGACAGTGCCGTTAATACAATGCGCCGTGCGCTATATTGGGATACACCACAGCAGTAGTCGTGCTGGCTAGTTGCCCATCTCATCCACCGATCATTAATCCCACTCCGGGGAATAGCGGCTGCGTGATTGAGACATTCAGCCATTAACTTTGGAGAACCCAGGTTTAATCACTGGGGCTAGGGTGTGTATTAAGGCCCATGGTGTGTCCACATATGGAGCTTTGTCAGCCCACTGCCGGATGAAGGTCATCGGCTGGGGTGGCTTAGGTGACCTCACTTCACCTTGCTAGAAGATGCATAATGGGACATTTTTGCCAGTATCAAAGTATGAAAAATTAAGAATAGGTTTTACCCTTTCTTGCAATGAAGCAGGAGGTGTTCAGATGTTCAAACACCAAATAGAAACCTTTTGCAAGGAATCAAGTCTGCATTAACCACACGTACTTGCGGTCAACATGCAAACACACATGCTGTGATAATATATGGCATCGTGAATGCGGCGTTAGACCAGTGGTCTTAGTAGCGTAGTGACGACACCATCCGCTTAGGCAGGTTTGGCAATCGGTCAGATGGGGCCCCAATATTTGATTTATATTTGAAAGGGTTAAACCTATTCTTGTTTTTTTTATACTTGAAGATGCATGTTGGGGAAGGCAGGGGACATTTTGCACAATAGGGGGGGCACAGCTGGTGCATCTGCCAGTTATCTCAGTCAACCTATAGCACCTTGGTCTGTCCCATGACCTGTCAGCGAGCCTTCGACACTTCACGTGGCCTCAAAGTGCGCCTGGCCTGGCACAGGCGCCATGGTGATGACACCACCACTTAGTGGCGAATGGTGGGTGTTGGTATTTGTGGGAGCATAGAAGTACATCACGGCAATATTTGTTTTGCTGCTCCATGTACTACCCACCATGTAGCCATGATGCTTTAAGTCAATTCGGGTAACTTTGGGGAGATCGTTCTTGACATTCTTTATTGACAGTGATTACTTCACCATTTTTGTATTGTTTTATTTTTACACAGAATTCTGTAACTCTTTTTACCATTGCCATACAAGTTTGCTAGGGTTATAAATTACAATGCCATTTATTGATGTATTCAGCAAAGACACACAACTAGGTGATTAATGGAGTGTTTGTAGCGATTAATTGGGAGAATTGTATACTGCGCACATCGGTAATGAAAAAAAACCCAAAGGAATCTATCTCCCTTATCCAAATAGCCACAAGACTTAATTGGGGAGTTGAGGATTGTAGTTATCTGCATGTGGTGTTGTGACTGCTTGAGTGTGCATGTCCTCAAATGATTTTTGCGTGATACTCAAGAGCCGAGAATCATTTTTTAATCATACGCAGCGCTGGGAGCTGTGGAGGTGTTACCGTGCACAGTGATTTTTGAAGCGGAGTTGGCTAAACGTTTGCCTATGGGCAGATCTGCCACCGTTTCAGACTCTTTAACGACACGGGTGATCGTTGGGGTAATCACAAAGTGGATTTTTACATGGACATATAAATGTTGAACAATTGGCAACTGTAAATTAAAATATTGTTTGTTGACACCGCATTGGCAATGGTGCACAAATGCAGGGAAAACAATCTACGCATTCATCAATACCTCTCACTTTAAAAAGAAAAACATAGAACAATGGTCGACATTTCAGGCAATGGCTCTTCACACCACGTAGAGAGGCCTCTGCCATTGCCCAGAAAGTCATCGATTGTGTAACTTTTATATTTTTCAAGCACTGTCATGGACAAATGTCATTTTTGGGTAAAATCAGATGTATATTTTTTTAATGAAACATAGATAATTACCTGCAAAATGACACCCCAATATGTACGTATTTTTTAAATGTCGACTCATTTGTAGAACTGCCCCCTTATCTTATAAACTGCACTGCACTCGGACCAAATGAACTTTTTCATCGACGCTGCGATGATGGCGGCGCCTTCAATTTCCACCTACGTGCTGAATTCCACTCACCGATTCCGTAAACGAGGGGCCATAATTTTTCCACAGCTATTGATAACTCCCCACCCCCTTCACCCCCCGATCCCCACTGATGGTTAATCGGGATGTTTTCACGCGGTGACCTTGAGGTTGCCCCAACTCGTGCGGTTTCCTGCCGTTTTATTGACGTGTCGTTATTTTCCCCTCCTCCGCCTTCCCCCTCTGTCTCGCGTGCAGACAAGGCCTCCCCAAAGCGGTCCCCGCGCAAGCGCGTGACCCGGCGATCCGAGGGCGTCAGCGAATAGAGAAAGGCCAAGTCATCGCTATTTTTATTTTTTATTCTTCCCCAGACTCGTTTTGGCTACAAATTACACCTTCCGTTACCTTCCCTTACCCTCATCACCGCCACCATCGCCATCACCCCCGCCCCGCTCCTCCTCCCAATTATTGTTTCAACTTCTCACCAATGTTTGTCAAACTCCACAGCGTGTCCCCGTCAAGGAGACGGCACGTTTGTAATTTCCCGCTTCATTTTTTCATTCATGTGAGAGGCACGGTAAAGCAAAGCAAGCGCCTGCCTTGTTCATATGTTCTCAAAATAAAAGACGATATTGTCATTTTTTCTCTATCGACTGTAACTCATATTTGTGGCCAACTTTTAAGGAAGTTACTTTCGGTATGATTTTGGTTTTTTTTTTGCAAGAGCTTGGCAAAAAGGTGTGTCCTGATGTCGGTGATTAAATTTAATTTTACAAAAATATTCCAACCTCTCCATAGTTATGTAACTTGTCTTCAGTTTTTGTGGCTGCGGGTTGCTTAATGAGCCACGGTGCAGCAAAATATATCCACCTTGTGTCATTAAAAAAAAATGACATGCCCAAATTCGCTTGCAGGAAGCAGCCAATAGGAGGAAAGGGTTGTAATTGTCATGGCGGTTAAGTGGGCAACCCATCGGTGAGCAGAATGCAGAGTTGCATTATAAGGCAATCTCTTCACAAGTCATATCTTGTACCCTGTCCTCCCTTGATCACAAGATGCTCTGGAAAGCAAAACGCTCCCCTCAACTTGTGACACAACCTCCCGCGCAGTGTAAGATGCACCCCGCAAATCTTCCTTTAATATACCGGGAGATAAAAACTCAGTGTCATAATCTGGAAAATATGGTACTCTTACAGAATATTGTGGCCTCTAACCTGGTTTGTTATGCAATTCCAACGGTTTGACCGATTAATGTAACTCTGCTTGTACATTAACCTATCAACGTACAAATATGAGAACAGTCCTCAGAACGAACTTTTGAAGAACTCAATTACTCTTCAGAAGTTGTGCGAATGTTCATCGGCTGTCCGCGGAAACGAAATCGGATTTCGGTTAATCACTCGAGTGCTTCGAAAGTAATTGCATTACAGTGACACACTGCTCGTAGCGTAGTCTCCCTGCAGCCGTGGGTTTGGCAGTGGCTTATGGATTCGGCTTTAGAGGATGAGAGACCTGCCGTCCATAGCGACCCTGTCGAGGTTTAACACTTTTAGACGGTGATTTGCGTCGGTTCAAGCGTTGCGTAAGCGTGTCCACGCTCGACAAGTTTGCAGAGCTGCAGGAAATTGTCGGTTTGAGATCAAATGAGAAACATCGACTCCCCATTTCCAGGGCTGCCCCAGGGGTCCCCTGAAGGCCTGGGACTTGGAGGCCCGTTTGGGGGATGTAGCCCCCCTTAATTCGTGACATAAAACTTCCCGTTTTGGTATCCTCTTTTGTGTGAGAACCAGGGAAAATTGCCAACCTCCACTCCCCCCTTCCCTGTGGGGGGCAGCCCTGTCTCCATTACTGCAGTTAGGATAGAGTTTCGTAAAGCAGGGTTTCTTAAAAAGTATATTTTCCTGGCGTGCCTGCAATAGAAAAAAATGGTGTGTGCTGTCGAGCCATTTGACGTCGTGTGCACGGATGTTACTGATGTTCCATGGCGTCGCTGTGATATAATAACGACAATTCCTACACGGGCGAAATACGGCAAGCCGTTAGACTGGTGGTGACGTCCGCACGTACAACAGCTAACCCTTGCCCTCTCGTCTTCAAGTCCCGTTCATCTCGCCTTCATCTCGCCCTCATCTTCATTGTCTGCAACTTCCATCTCTGTCTTCATGTCCATCATCTCTTTGTATCCCCCACTAAGCCTCTTCACGTCTCGGCGAGGGCCACGTCTGGCACATGGGCTGCCAGTTTTAAGAGCCCTGGCGTAGGATTACCGGTGTCACGTGCCCTCCGCTCCACACCCCGGCAGTTTGGACGCTTGCATTAGGGTGCCTTAGTTGTGCTCAGTATTTGGGCACTTCACTGCATAGTGTAAATATACTACGTCAGTGGCAGTGTTACGTGGTAAGCTATATGGTAATTGGCACTGGTTGGTTTTAGCGCTCATTGGTTTAGCATCATAAAAACTGAGCATCAGGCACGATTGCCGTATTCTCTGGATAGTAAAAGCCTCCCTAAAAGTGTGATCGGTAAAGTTATACAGGTCTGGTCACGTGCACGTATACCGGCCTCCAAGGTGCACCCCCAATTGTTGCTTTAACATACAAGGGCGGTGGGGGTTAAGGTGCATCTTATAATCGGGAGAATACGGTAATTTAAAATATTTAGTCCAAGATAATTGAGCCGAAAAGCCTAAATTTGGGTTTTTAAAGATTTGTATTATTCGTGCATGAGATTTTTGGCACAAATGTTTGGGGTTTGCTTGCATGCTTGGGAGGCAGAGTGCAGAGAGAAAACCCCACGCATGCGAGAGGAGAACGCTGAAACTCCACTGCAAACATAAGGCTACTTGCTGTACTACCTCCTGCAGGCGCCTCGTCAAGTTGGCGGGTGGCGCACACATCATCATTATCACCCCCGCCGCTCTAAACGGACCAGCGATTTAGGACTTGCATCCCCGCTTTAACCGTCGTCGTCACTTTGCACTGACTGGCTGTTAACCCTCTCATGCATTAATTATTGAAAGCAAAATACCTAACTTTTAATTTATCGGTTTAATACGATATCAGTCGACGGAACCCACTAAGTTCGTTGACTATTATACTCTAATTTCTTCGCAAAGTCCTGATCGTGTCCTCTACGCTGGACATCAGTTTTCCGCCACCTTGAATGCCAGGCCTCTGCTTTTGCCCAGCTTTTCTGCAACACAGCAGGTCCTGTTGTTCAGCACTCGGTCACAGCGCCGAGTCGGTGGACATCCCACGGAGAGGACTACACACACCGATATGTTTGAGGCGTGTGGACCACACAGCCGAAGTGCAAACGAATCGTTGCAGCGGACGCGATGCATGCGAGGGTTAATTCGGCGCCCGTAGCTCCGTTGACGAACAACGTGGCCTGCACTCGCCGCTGTCTGGAACGCGAGTTTATCGTGCTGGCGAGTCTCGATAGATGGACTCTGCTTTATTAAAACTTGTATGCCGGCAGGAGCTTCTAGAATCTAGAAAAAAATACTTGCCTGTGGAACCCTGCCTAAAATGTCATGTACAGCGTGTCCTCAAAATAACGGGGGTGAATATACCGTGTCCTGTATTTTAGGAGGTGGGGGTGGGGTACCTGTTAAAAATTTGAAAACATTGGACAGCGTATTGCCAAAGCTTCAAAATGTAAAGCCATGCTGGGTGGTCGTTGTCCGCGGAGTCTCCGCGCTGCACCGCAACAAAACCGTGCGGGCGCATTTCCCCAGCTCGGTAGAATTTTTGCCGCACGGAAAAATCTCCGCAGCGTTTCGATTGTGCGCGCGTGTTCCGCGATCTGAGCTTGCGATGATTTTCAGCGATTTCACGTCGTTCTCTCGCGACGCGTGTGTCTTCAATCGCTTTCGTGATTTAAATGCGCAATGTATATTTTTGTTTTACGTAATATCAAAAGGCAATATAAATATACCATTACAAGCTGTTGATTGGGATAAATGTAGTCTTAGACGGAACAGAACCAGCGACAGGGTTTGGAGTTTAGTTCGTGTTAGGGGTTGTAAGGAGCATTGTTTAACCCAGGAAAGCCTGAGTCTTGACTCTTTTTTCCCCCTGCGGTTCCTCTTGTTAAGTTGATCAGTCGGGGTGCGATATTGACGTTTTCTTTTCACAATTGAGTAATTTGCAGGTAAAACTAAAATTCACCCCACCCCTTCGGGTAGAAACGTGGTATTTTAAGGACACGCTGTAAGTGTTGCGGTGCAGCCAGGGTTGCCTGTCTGAATGCGATGTGCTTTTAAAACCGGTGACTTGTGTGATGAAAAAAAAATCAAATGGACACCGTGGAACTTTAACTTTATCAACGCTACGTGTTAAAAAAAAGAGTTTGGCACAACAACAAAAATGTCACTCTACTTGGTCGCTTGAGCGCGTGTGTGAATGTTCGGCAGCTGCGGGGGGTGATGGGTCGGGGAAATTACATGGGTTTTGGCTGGGAATAAGAGAACACTGGGGACGATAAGTGTTGGGGGTGGGGGGGGGGGTCACGGCAGACTTTAATTCAACGAGGTGTTTAGATCACAGGCGATCATATCGTCAGAAATGTACCACGTCACAAAGGGCTTTGGTTGGCACAGCAACTCCCATCGAGGTTGGGTTTGTGAAGGGGGGGGTATTTGGACGGTCGGCCTCGGATGAAAATGAAGCGTTTTGAAGAATTGACAATAAAGCAAAAAAAAAGTGATAACGTTTAGTTTCCGGGAATGTGTGTTGTCGCATTGATTCTTGTTTTTTAAACGTTCGCGAGCTGCGTGGCTGGGACTTGAACTTAGTTCGTGGGTGTCTCTAGCGCAGTGCTCTAAGCACCACTCCACCCAACACCAGCCACTTGGTGCCAATTTCCCGAGTGCTGTAAACACGGCACGCCTCGTTGTGACGGTGGGAATATTTTCGACCTACGTTGGCCACAAAATACCCTTTCCTGTATTCTAGATTTGAAGCTTTCGTGACTGCAAGGATTCGTACTCTTAGGTTTTTTCGGTAAAGTCACGTGGGTAAAAATAAAAATAGATAATAGAAATAATAATAGAAATAAAATAATAAATTCGTGATTTGTTTTTCTGTTATATTTTTATTTTTACCTACGTGACTTTACCGAAAAAACCTAAGAGTATGAACCCTTCCTGTAGTCAAAAGCCTTTCACTCGTTAATTAAAAAAAAGGATAATGCGGCACCAAGCTGCTTGTTATTAATGAGTAATAGAACATTTCTTGTTTTCAATTCTTCGCGTGTGTGTATCACATCGCTCCCTGTTGGTTTAATTGGCATAGCGATTGGTTTTTGTTGGCGCAATTCTGCGTGGCGCACTCAAAAGAAGACGGGTTACTTGCAAAAGTGTTGCACGCGTGTAATTGGGTTACTTGGTCCGACAATTTATCTAACACGATGTTAGTTTGATTATGTTTCGGTGTTTTTATTTTCTCTTCAATCAAATCCCGCACGGTCTGTTGTGCAGACGTACGGTCGTGCGTTTTGATCGATCACTTGATTAGGAATGGGCCTGGGTGATTAATTTGCCGTTCGTTTGTTTGATTAATTGTGAGGGAGCGGTGGCGCAGCGGTTAGCGCGCTACGCTACAGACCCGGCTGACCGCGAGTTCGATTCCGACTCGCGGCCAACAACTCGTGACGATTATCTGAACCGGTCATGGGCCTCCGCTAGGTTGACTCAGCCTCTAATGAGTACCTAGCGCGATGTGTAAACATCAGGTGCTCGCTAACAGCACTTGCCCCAATAGTCTGTTAAGCCTATACGGGGGATCTTTGTTTTTAATTGCTGTAATTGACTCGCGGAAATGTTTTGTCCCAAAAAAAAATTCAGACGTCTGTGAAATCGAGGTGGACGAGGTTGGAGGGGGGGGGGCGTGGCGCAATTTTAATGACAAACAAAAGTGGCTTCACTCCTCATTCTTTACGAGCAATTATTTTTGTGCCCCCCCCCCCCCACCGGGCACAGCAGACACCAAGTTGTCCCGGGTTTTAGTTTTTGTCGTTGCCAAGACGCGTAAAGTGTTCCACGAAATGCTGTTGTTGTTGTTCAAATTGTATTCGATAAACGTGGCCGTGGTTGGATAAATAAATAAATGACCTCCCCCCCCAAACTCTTCTTTGTCGTTCATGGGAGCCGTGAGTGTGAATCTGTCGCGCGGTTGATAGAGTTCAACGCAATTTAACCTTTTCTTGACCTTGTTCTAATTTCAGATTCAAAGTGACGACGTTCCCGTGGCACGCTTGGAGTCGCAATCTCGATTCGATCTCCTGGCACGGTAGTTATAAACAACGGGACGAGTTGATTACATTCTGTAAAGAACAAAACTATGTCCACTTGGCAGTATGTAAATCGGAATCAGAATTTGTTTTTCATCAATATTTAAACTGGAGCAATTCGATGCGCTATAAAGAACTAATCTAGATTTGAAGTTTTCGTGACTGCAGGGATCCATACTCTTTGGTTCTTTCGGTAAAGTCACGTAGGTACAAAATAAATTAAATCACGACGTTTCGAGCGCAACACAAGTGCCCGTCATCAGGTGGGACAACCGCAGCAAGAAACAATTTCTGAAGTGGGCAAAAAAATCTATTTTTCACATGTCCAGTCGAGGCGGGTCAGAACGTTACAACAATAAACTATTGACAAACACGATAGGAGTGCAAAGTAAAAGAAAGTTTAAACAAAGCATCCAAACATCTACAAATAAAACGAAACCATCCCCATCTTACCAAACAGCCCACTGAGGTATTCACTTCCAAAAGCGACCTGGTTACGAATATGATTCGTAACCTTGATCATCACCGCCCGTATATCGATAGTTCAATGTGAATGTTGCCATTTTATTGAGGGACTATTGCCGTGTGGCGTTATCTTGGTGTGGTCTGGTAATGTTGTCGTTGTTGCCTTGCCCAATCTTAATATATTGGGCTTTTAGATGTAACACATTCCTGCGGAGGGAGCTGGTAGGAACGTCGGGTTGCTCGGTCAATGGCCAGAATCAACGGCGGCGTGGTGTATTCCGCAAATATTCCCAACTGTAAGGGCGGGCACAAGCCGGCGTGAGTAGGTTAAACGTTGAGTTTTATAAGGGCACCACGGGGTGACCAGCCCCTCCCCACCCAGCCCCTCCCCACCCTCCCCTCTCCACCCACCCCCACCCTCCCCACCCAGCCCCTCCCCACCCTCCCCTCCCCACCCAGCCCCACCCAGCTCCTCCCTGCACGACGGACACAATAATCCCCTGTGGGCTGGTGTGACCAGGAGGTTCCTACCAGTATAAGTTCAAACGAAGGGTAGGGCACGCGGGTGCGATGCGTGGTGCGAAAGAACATCTCAAGTGCGAGGTGTAAAAAAGCCCGCGTTGGTGACGTTCAAGTGTTGGCATCAAAGGACGGAACACTTCAAAAGTTGCTTTAAAAGTCGCGAATGTCCCTGGACTTTAGAGCCAAGCCGACGGGTCTAGTCAGTCTCGTGCGTGCGGCCAGTAACATTTACCGTACGTGAATCTTCATACTGGACTCGTATTTTCAACAGTGTTACATTCACAATATTTCTTATACTGGTAGGAACCACCTGGTTCCACCAGCCCACAGGGATTATTGTGTCCGTCCGTCCGTCGTGCTGGGTGGGGAGGGGAGGGTGGGGAGGAGAGGGGCAAGGGGGGAGGGGCAAGGGGGGAGGGGAAAGGGGGGGGGGGAAAGGGGGGAGGGGCAAGGGGGGAGGGGCAAGGGGGGAGGGGAAAGGGGGGGGGGCAAGGGGGGAGGGGTAAAGGGGGGAGAAGAAAAGGGGGGAGGGGTAAAGGGGGGAGAAGAAAAGGGGGGAGGGGCAGGAGGGGGGGGGGAGAGCGTCACGTGATATCGGCACGGTGGGGGAGTCACGTGAGGCGTCCGAGGGGGTGGAGTCCACGTGACTCGCGTAAACAGCTGACGGCGGGAGAGAGAGAGGGGGGGAAGCGGGCGCCACACACAAACATTTTGAATTTTTTTAATGAAATAAAAACAACACACACACACAAACATTTTGAAGATTTTTCCCCGTCCCCCCTCTACCTCTCGCGGCGGCATCAGCAGCAGCGGCGGCGGCGGCTTCTCCCGCTTAAGCGCGCCATGTTCGAGACGTTTCGGGAACGACTCCTGAACGTGCAGCAAGACCTGAGCGCAGGGTGAGCGCGCACTGTACCACGCACTGTAACACGCACTGTACGCATCACTGTACGCGCTGTGCCTCGGAGCCCCCCCCCTCTGCTGCGCTGTACGTACTGTCCAGGGTGGTCCAGATGTCTTGTGACCCCCCCCTCCTCCCGTTTAATTCTCTAGAACGTAATAATTTTAAAACGTACACGAATATGCGAAGGGGGAAACATTTTGAGGGGGTCAATTGATTGGAGGTCACGAGACCCCTTGCGCGTTGCGCAGACCCCGGTGCTGTCAGCACGACGGATGAGCACGGAATTCCGCACTGTACGCACTTATTCCGCACTGTACACCCATTCCGCACTGTACACCCATTCCGCACTGTACACGCTTATCCAGCACTGTACACCCATTCCGCACTGTACACACTTATTACGCACTGTACACCCTTTCCGCACTGTACACCCATTCCGCACTGTACACACTTATTCCGCACTGTACACACCCATTCCGCACTGTACACCCATTCCGCACTGTACACCCATTCCGCACTGTACACCCATTCCGCACTGTACACCCATTCCGCACTGTACACCCATTCCGCACTGTAACCCATTCCGCACTGTACACACTTATTACGCACTGTACACCCATTCCACACTGTACACACTTATTCCACACTGTACACCCAATCTGCACTGTACGCACTTATCCCGCACTGTACACCCATTCCGCACTGTACACTTTTTCCGAACTGTACACCCAATCCGCACTGTACGCACTTATTCCACACTGCACTCACCGCACTGTACACCACATGCACGCACTGTACACTGTACGTACTGTGCGGCACAGTAGTGCTTTGTACAGTGCGCCGTGTTTCAAAACGAATGGTCAAAGTGACCTTTGCGTGCCGAGTCGCTTGACCCAACGTTGGTGGTCAATCTACACGTTCGTACTTACAACACATCGTAATCTCAGGATCGATACATAAAACCGATGAATCGATACTGCTGGTGGAATGTGACCGTTGGTCTTCCGAAAGATGGACTTGTCCCGGCCATAGGAATGTGGAATGTTGACCTCTGGCATCAAGGGCCGCGCTGGGGAGGCCCGGGTTGGGCTGTTGCTACTGCCAGCCTCGTGGTGCGAAACGTCGGACATTCGGAACACTCGAGGAGATGTGTAGCACATTGTGGTGGCGTGTATAATGTGGAGCGAAGGTCTGGCGTGGGGAAGTATTTATAGATCTTTGTGATTGATACGCGCACGGGGAGTCTTTAGTAATGCTGCCATCTCTTTGATTATTGCACTTGGCAATCTCCCATCCCTGTCTCCCGTCTCGTTTTTGTTTTACCATCAGAGGAAACAAGAAGATGATCGGTGTAAATTTCGATTTAAAGCTTTCGTGACTACAGGGATTCATCTTCTTGGTTCTTTCGGTGAAGTCACGTAGAAGGGAAGTAATAAAATAATAAAAATAAAACATAATAAAATAATTCTCACGACGTTTCGGCCACAACGCAAGCAGCCGTCCTCAGGTGAAGAAACAGGTCATTCAGACGTTGTCATTCTGACACACCTGTTCTTCACCTGAGGACGGCTGCTTGCGTTGTGGCCGAAACGTCGTGAGAATTATTTTATAATGTTTTATTTTTATCATTTTATTACTTCCCTTCTACGTGACTTTACCGAAAGAACCAAGAAGATGCTCGGTGTAGTCGGCACTTTGCTTCGTTCATCATTTAGTTTTTTTTACCAATGCTTTGCTTTATGTGCCCCCCTCCCCTATTTAAATGAAATATTCATCCCGTCTCTCCCTGTCTCTCTCCTCTCTCCCTGTCTCTCCCCTCCTCCTCCCCTGTCTCCTGGGTTCAGGCTCAAGACACTGAGTGACAGGTCGAAGGATGTCAACGTGAAACGGAAGTTAAGGTTCGTTTGCAGAGGCTTTTAAATTTTTTTTTACATTTTCACCTTTGTAACATTTATTCACCGCGATCTACCGCACACTTTGTTCGCTCTGAAACAGAGAGGCTGACTCGGCATGTATGCGTGTTGAACTTGTTTCGTACCGTACGTAGCCAACAGGACTAATCGGAGGTGCGGGGGGGGAGAACAAACTAAACACAAAAAGCAGTTCCTAAAGAAATGAGTTTGTCCATCTCGACGATGATTTAAACCTGCACAGCTCCCAGTGACTTCCTCATATCGGAAGGAAGAGCGTTCCAGACGGCCGCAGAAGCGCATCTGAAAGCGCCTCGCGATGCGGTGACCATCGTCTTTGTTCGATGGCTGTGCCAAAAGCCGCTGTTGCTGCTGTGAGGATGACCACCGGAGTTTGCGTAGTGATGGTTTACGCTCCTTGACGAGACCAGCGAGGTGCTGTGGTTCATTTGTGGCGAGCACTTTGTGCAACTCAGAGGTGCCAGAAGGAACCACGGCCAATCGGGAAGGCAGCAACAGCCAGGCGGAGGGCCACGCACTAGCAATAATTGCCCGAGTTTTGCGGTGCTGTATATATTAAGATGCGTCACGGTGGCTAGGAGATGTTAACTCCCTCGCCTGGTATTCAGGAGGTCGTGGGTTCGATCCCGACTGCGACTCCTGCTGCTGTATATTTGGAGTTTGTGTGTGTCTCTCCCCGTGGTCACGTGGATTTTTCTCTGGGTCCTCCGGTTTTTCCCTCCGTTTAGAATCAACATCATGCGTTTAAAGTGTTTGACCGACATACATTTCCACATGATAAGCCACTTCGTTGAGCTATCATTTGTGGGCAGGTCGCTTCTGAAAAAAAGCTGACACTGCTCAGTGGGCCTTACCTGTTCAAATCAAAACATTGTTTAGATTTTAAAGATAGTTTAAGGCAATGAATCTGGCGTTTATACACGTGGCAAGTAACCGGAATACACCCGGAGAAAAATAATTTGTGTAACAGGGGGCCAATATGTGACTTGCACCTTTGAACCTTACCACACGTGCATCGATAGTTCAATGTTATTTTGCCATTTTATTGAGGAACTACAACTGTACTCTGTGGTTGGTATCTTGGTGTGATCTGAGTCTGCGTTGCTGTTTTTTGCTGCCCTGCGCAAGATTGATAAATCAGAGTTGCGTAATTAATGCTTCGTTTATTGACTTATATTTAGTGACTTGCTTACCTTCGAATCGATGTTGCACTCCTATCGTTTTGTTGGCATCGTCTGTTGTTGTAAACTCGGTGAGCCCGTGCACCTGCTGGACATTTGTGGGGAAACAAAGAGCTTCATAGCTCATCGGATTCCTCCTGCAGTAGAAATGCAGATTCTGATTTCTGTACACGAGGGACCGTGTGCTATTCGGCTTAACACGTAGGCTTTCGCGACCAATATCAACCATAATACAGGTGTTTTGGGTTAGATCGCGTAAATATATAAATGTGTCGTTAAACCCGCCACCACCCGACACAGCCGATTAGTAAGTTTTAGTGTCACGTAAACAGAACGTGCCAATCATTGGCTGTGTCGGGTGGTGGCGGGTTTAACGACACATTGATATATTTACGCGATCTAACCCAACAAAACCTGTTAAGTTTGAAATTCGTCCACTTTTTGCTGTACCACCACCACCACTTCCGTTGGCAAGCCCCGGTACATCGCCCTCCCCCTCGACACCCACGGGAATTGGAGTTTCACAACATTTGTGCGCTCTGCACCGCCGCTCTCTTTCTGCGGTCTCCACAGTGCCGGGCAGTTTATTTTAAAATTAAGAGTAGGAATTGGTGAGAACGAATTGCCACACTTCTGTGTCGGCTGCCAGAAAAGCATTTTTTTTTCTCATGAGCCATGGATGTCTGTGGTGTATCATACATTAAGTAATAATAATGTAATATTTTTTAAATGCTTCCCCATGACTTGTCGATCATTGGAAGGGTTGTTCCACCATACTTCATTATACTTCACCATACCTCACCACGTGGGTCGGTGAATTTGGGTGAGAGAGGGGGGTGGGGTAGCCTTGACTGGGTGGTCAGATATCCAACTCGGGTTGCCGGGTTCTATCATTCACGTTCACCACTGCGCCGCCGTACCACCGCGTGACAACGTTCAAGTTCAAGTTGATGTACTAGGTATAGCCCTGTGAGCCATTCGGCTCTTGAATCGGGTGCAACCGCAACAAACAGAAACAAAAACATGAACAAAAAACATCTTACCGTGAATATGTGACTATGCAAACAGAAAATCCAAGAAAAGACAGCAAAATATTGCAGAAAAAGCACCGTACACCAACGCTGTGTGCAAAAATCCCAGTGGGATGCAAGTCAAACAACAACAACAACCACAAGACAACTTAGATTAAGGCCATCAGTATAACTCTGTACTACAACAAACAAACATGGCTAAACCAATACACTTTTCGAAATCACCAAAATAAAGCCATACACATGGGTAAAGTATGGTCTTTATCCAAGTACAGTTCAAACACTGAACCTGTGTGTAGTTATTTATATAATCATGAAGTGGCCGTTTTTTACTTTGGCATAGTAGACGATTCAGCTAGGACTGTGAGTCGGTTATAAATCAGTCTGGGCAGCTCTCCGGGGAAGGGTGAAGCGGCTCTCGTAAAACACCGAGGTGTGTCGGGACGTGCGCAGGCTGCACTGGGGATAGGTGGTGACAGTGCGCTTCGTGCGCACGTGTCCTGACCATCGACTTGCTCCGTACATAAAACGCTCGACAGCATTCGTCAGTCATGCTGCCGTGTCCTTAGAAGGAAAAAAAATACGATTTAAAGCTTTCGTGACTGCAGGGATTCATCTTCTTGGTTCTTTCGGTAAAGTAACGTAGAAGGGAAATAATAAAATAAAAAAATAAAACATAATAAAATAATAATAAATATAATTTTCCAATATAATTAAATAATATGGTGCTATATAGTAATATAATAAAATAATATAATAAAATATTATTTTATGATGTTTTATTTTTATTATTTTATTATTTCCCTTCTACGTGACTTTACCGAAAGAACCAAGAAGAAAAAAATACGCTTAGGCGGCGACGTTTCGGGCAAAGGCCCTTCTTCATGGCGCGTAAATGGAACGACGAGAAAGAACGTTCCGCACGGAACGTTCCGATCAGCGCGGTTGGTGACGTACGGTGCGAAAGAAGTTTAAACATAAACGCGTGCACGTGTGGGAGAGAGCCGGAGTGTCCGGGGAACACCCCCGAGTGCGAAGGATAATAAACGAATTGCCGCGCACGAATGGATGCCACAAGACATTTGCCGTGCGAATGTGTTGTGGCCATCCGGCAGCCCAAGCCTCTTCCACCTGGTGTTCCCTGGCAGGCTCTGATCCATGATGTAATCGTACGCCAAGCACAAACCTGCTTGGCTTATGATGAATTAATGAGGTGAGGGTAATTCGTGGTCATTTGCGTGTTAAATAATTATGCATGGGTATGTATATATATATTTAACATTGAACATGTACAATATAAAATGTAACAGTAACATAGTAACTGCTCAGGACACACTTATTCAGCGATAGCAACAAGTAAACAACTATTATCTTTGGGTAAATATGTAACCGGAGTGATGAATATCTCTGAGGGTTTGTCATCGCACGCAGGAATTATGTCACGGGCGTTTTACTACAATCGGGCGCTTGCCAGGTTTTGTAGGTAACGAGGCTTGCTCCTGGAGCTGTGAATTAAATCCATCTGCCCGGAGCTGCGTGAGTGTCAACCCCCAGATCCCCTTGTACGTGAACGGTGACCTTTTTAAATCCTTTATATTAAGTTCGCTTGCTTGCTTAGGACCGTGCAAATCTTTCGGTAGTTTTTTAACCCACTTCCCGTGATCCAATCCAGCTGACATTTTCCACACAGACTCGTTGTGCGTGACAATTAATGTTCGTGAAATTTTTTTCCCAAAATTTTACACTTTTTAGGACAAAAATATTATATTTAATTACCAATTGCTTAATGGTGCAATGCAATCATCTGACCCATAGGTGGCAACCATCTCAAGCCAGAGGACGAGAGGACTTTAGCCGCCACGCATATAAAGGATTTATAGTGAAAAACTTTGTTTTTACTGGTTATACTTATTTTTGGTTTGGCAAAACATTCGAGCGCGGGAGCCTCCTCCACACGGGTCTCGAGATGCCGATAGTTTTTACGAGATACACGAATGAGCATTGGTATTATTGTTTTAACAATTCTATTTTGGTCGAATTGCCGACTATCCGTGATAACGTCACACCATCGATTGGTGTCAGTGGGTGGTACTGTTGCTCCTTAATCCGCAATCTTATTTCAGGTGTGCTTATTTTTATTTACGGCGAACGGCGATGTGTTTTATAGCTTCCTTAGAACATCCTTCTCGCCCTGCGAAAGTGAAATTCTATCCGTTAGCTGTCAGGCCGTTCTAAATAAAGCAGGTTATTGATCGGAGCGTTGTGTGTGCTTGCGAGCGAGTGTGTGCTTGTGTTGCGTCTGTGTGTGAGAATGTGTTTGTGTGTATCACTATATGGGAGGGCACGTGTGTGTGGAGCGGTAGCGCGCTGCGCTACAAACCCGGTGGGGCGAATTCGATTCCCGCTCACGATCAACACCAGTGACGATCATCTGAACCGGTTCTGGGCCTCTCATAGGTCGCCTCCGCCTCAAATGAGTACCTGGTGCGGGGTGTAAAAACATCGCCACTGGGAAGACAAAGGCGGCCGGGCGTGGTGCTGGCCACCCACCCCCTCATGTGACGTGCCAGCCTTTATAGGTGCTCGCTAACAGCACTTGCCCCAAAAATGCTGTATGGGTGATGTGTGTCTTTGTCTTTTGACAGCAAACAAGACGAATATGATCCTTGCCTGAACGCAGGCACTGAGTTGCTGAACAGGTAAGACTCAAGTCGTCACCGCATTGCGAACAATCACCTCGCATGAATCGTATCTTCAGTCCAGTTCATTTTCTCAGTCCACTCCTGTATGAGGGCCTCACCTGACATCACCATCCTGACATCATCACACTGACATCATCACCCTGACATCATCACCCTGACATCACCCTGACATCATCACACTGACATCATCACCCTGACATCATCACCCTGACATCATCACACGACATCATCACACTGACATCATCACCCTGAAATTACCGGCACCATTGTGCTCTTTTTATTTCGCATGATGATGATGAGGATGGTGAAGTCTGATCTCATGTCCGATCTCAACCGTCCGTTCCCTGGAATCCAGATATGAGGACAGCTGGTCGGAGCTGCACAGACAGGCCGAGGCCTGCGCACGGCTGGGAGAGGTAAGGACAAAACTTCCGTTGCCTGTACCTACACGTGCCGTATGTACGCACGTATGCATGTCGAACCTTGCTCGCACCGTACCTAGCCAACCGTACTAATCGGAGATGCGCGGGAAGGACCACAATCTAAACGCAAAAAAGCAGTTGTCAAGAAGTGAGTTTAAAAGTCCATAGCTCCAGTGGTTTCCTATTATCGGAAGGAAGAGCGTTCCAGACGGCCGCAGAAGCGTATCTGAAAGCGCGCGATGCAGTGGCTATCTTTGTTCGATGGCTGAGCCAAAAGCCGCTGCTGAAAGGATGACCTGAATTTGCGTGTTGATGGTTTATGCTCTTAGACGAGATCTGTGTGGTGGTTTTGTGGTTGATTTGCGGCAAGCAGTTTGTGTGTAACTAGTGCGCACTGTATGCAGCCAACCGCACAAACCGGAGGGGCGGCGGAAGGACCGCAAAGTAAACGATGTCGCTGGAGGAAGGAAGAAAATGAATACGGCAACAAAAACACACTGCTCCAAATGCCCGTAGAGTCACGGATTGAAATGTCACGTTGTAAAACAAAAAATATTTTTAACTTGTAACATTTCGCTGCCGCCACTACCACCGCCACACTATTTGTTCACTACTCTTTGGTTCTTTTCGGTAAAGTCACGTAGGTGAAAAATAATAATAATAATAATATTAAAAATAGAAATAACTAAATTAAATCGCGACGTTTCGATTTCGACACAAGCAGTCATCATCAGGGACGGTTGAGATCGGACATCAACAGGTGTGGAAATCACAGCTAGAATTTTTTTACTAAAGTGTAAAAAATTTGTAGCTGTGGTTTCCACACCTGATGATGATTGCTTGTGTTGCAATCGAAACGTCGTGATTTAATTTAGTTATTTCTATTTTTTTAATTTTATTCTTATTTTTAAAAGTTTTACTTATATATATATATTTTTCACCTACGTGACTTTACCGAAAGAACCAAAGAGCATGGATCCTTGCAGTCACGAAAACTTCCAATCGAGAATTATTTGTTCACTCTCAAGCAGAGGTCGCATTCAGGTACCCGATACCCGTACCCTACCCGATACCCGACTACCCGTACCTGGCCGGGTACGGGTACCCGTTTGCGACCCTGGTGCGGCTGGGTTACGGGTAGACCGTGAGTCACTGGTGAGTAACTGTTTGTCACTCATTTCCCAACGTCTTGTCTCTTCTCACAATTCAAGTTCCTAGAATCAACCCACCCGCGTCTGCAACATGGCTTCATCCCAGAGGTCGCAATCGGGTACCCGTACCCGTACTCTACCCGATACCCGGCTGGGTACGGGTAGCCGGGTATCGGGTAGGGTACGGGTACCCGTTTGCGACCCGGGTGCGCCGGGTACGGGTAAGGAATCAAAACCCGTTTGCGACCTCTGCTCTCAAGTCGAGGTGGATGACTCGGTATGTACGTACGAACGTGGGACTTCTTTCGCGCCGTACGTAGCCCACCGTGCTAACCGGAGATGCCGGAGGACAACAAACTAAACGCACAAAAAAGCAGTTCTGAGGAAATTAGTTTTAAATTTAGATTTAAAAGTGCGTTGCTCGTACCGTGCGTACGGCCTTCGTGTCAATCCACTACCTGCTGAGGCCCTCCCCCACCCCGTGGGGGTCGTGGGAGATATTTGACGTGGGAGTGATTTGCAAACTGGTCCTTCGTCTCCTCTAGGTTGACTCGGCCTTAAATTGAGGGTGCTGAATGTGCTTCTGGCCATACACCACCAGCGTGGGTGCCTTGCCAGCCTTCGTAGGTGCTCGCCAACAGCACTTGTCCAAACAGCCTCTATGGCTCATGGGGTGTGGGTCTTTGTATGTATGTCTACTTACGTGTGTGTGTGTGTGTCCGTGGGGACAGGTAGTGTATTGGTTAGCGTACTACCCTACAACCCAGCAGACCCGAGTTCAATTCCCGCTTACGACCAATAACAGTAGTCGGCCTTCAACGGGCACCTGATTCAGCCGTTGGGGAGACAAAGGCGGCCGGGCACGTTGTTAGCGACACCGCTCGTGCGCGTGACGCGCCAGCCTCAGTAACTGCTCGCTTAGCAGCACTTCCACCAGAAATCCGTGATGGCTTTATGGGGGTGCTTTGTCTGTGTGCGTGCGTGCGTGCGCGAGAGGGAGTGGACGCGCTGGCCACCGCCGTCTCGGCCTCGTGGGAGCAGCGCTGTTCGCGGCTTGCCGAGCTCGTGGTCCAGATGCGTCTCCTGCCGTCGGTGGTGACTCAGCTCGACTCGCTGCTCGCCACGCTCGGTACCAGGGACAGCAGGGCACACCGCGTTACACCGCGTTACACCGTATTACCGCTACGCGTGGCACCTCGTGCCTCACACTCGCACCGTGACATGCCCTGCCGCGAGACACCGCGTGAACCACGGCGCACGGTGAAACACCGCGGCTCAAACTCGCGCTGCCGAGGCGCCGCGACACGCCACGTGACCGCGACGCACACCATGACACGGTGTCACGCGCGTGTCCCTCCCGCCACACGCCGCATCTGTCCGCGACATGCCACGTCGCACACCCACACACCGCCGCTCCGTGACGGCACGTGACGTCACCCCGGGTCGCCCCGCGTCGCACCACCGTCACACCGCGTCGCTCCACGACAGATTCATGACGCACGCCGGCGACGTGCCTAACCGGCAACCGTGGCACGGGTGACGCATCCCGTCCGGCAAGCTCGCGTGCCGCCACGGTCGGGGGTGGACTTATGCCGGGCCGCCAATGTTGAGCCCCCCACCCCTCCCCCGTGCCCCCCCCCCCCCCCACCAGGCCAGCTGGAGGGAGAGTGTGAGGAGCTGGAGGACCGGCTGGGCCACCTGGAGGACATGTGCGAGGAGTGCGAGCTGCGCAGGGCCACGGAGCAGCACGCTCGCGACGCGCTCGCTTACGAGCAGCGCAAAGGGTGGGCTCGCAGCGCGGGGGGTGGGGGCGGGTCGTGGGGGGTTGTAGGGGGTCGTGGGCTCTTTGCCCAGGGGCCAACTCGGACCGTTAGACAGTTTTGCGCTTCTAGGACGTAGTTTTCACGGTACTAGGTTGTAGGTTTCGCGATACTAAGACGTAGGTTTCATGATACTAGGACGTAGGTTGCACGATACTAAGATGTAGGTTTCATGATACTGGGATGTAGGTTGCACGATACTAAGATGTAGGTTTCATGATACTGGGATGTAGGTTGCACGATACTAAGATGTAGGTTTCATGATACTGGGATGTAGGTTGCACGATACTAAGACGTAGGTTTCATGATACTAGGACGTAGGTTGCACGATACTAAGATGTAGGTTTCATGATACTAGGACGTAGGTTGCACGATACTAAGACGTAGGTTTCATGATACTCGGATGTAGGTTGCACGATACTAAGACGTATGTTTCATGATACTAGGACGTAGGTTGTACGATACTAAGACGTAGGTTGCACGATACTCGGTCGTAGGTTTCACGATACTAGGACATAGCTTTCATGATACTAAGACGTAGGTTTCATGATACTGGGATGTAGGTTTCACGATACTAAGACGTAGGTTTCATGATACTGTAATGTAGGTTTCATGATACTAAGACGTAGGTTTCATGATACTGTAATGTAGGTTTCACGATACTAGGACATAGGTTTCATGATACTAAGACGTAGGTTTCATGATACTGTAATGTAGGTTTCATGATACTAAGACGTAGGTTTCATGATACTGGGATGTAGGTTTCATGATACTGAGACGTAGGTTTCATGATACTGTAATGTAGGTTTCACGATACTAAGACGTAGGTTTCACGATACTAGGCCCTAGGTTGCACGATACTAGGATGTAGGTTTTGCGATACTGGGACGTAGGTTTCGGACGTGCTAATCGATGCGGGTACTTGTTCTGCGTGAAGTGGCTGTTTACTCGGGCAGAGGGCGTGAGCCCATTAGAACCGCGATTCAGATTATGTGCGTACGTATGTTCAACTTCTTTCGAACCGTACGTAGCCGACCGTGCTAATCGAAGGTGCTATTATCGAGCGGGTCCTGCGGGAGTCGGGTGGGGCAGCTCACGGAGCAGGGAAGGGACAAAGGCCGAGAATTCTAATGGTCCGAGCCGTTGAGGAGAGGCGATGGCTTTCTGGCCTGGCCGCGTTTCAGCCCTTTAGGTCAGCAACACTCCCTTGGCGGTGGCTGTGGAAGTGAGGGATTTGCCACCGACCCTCGGTTTACGAACGCTGTTTTGTAAAACCCTGTGTGCTTTTCTTTTGTTTCATGCCAGCCCGATCGAAAAGGAATTGGAGTGAGCCTTCCTTTGCATTTTTACTCTCCTTGTTTCTGTGTTCGCTCCGTGTGTGTGTGTGTGTGTTTGCGCGCATGTGCGTTGCGCTTCCACGCGTTGCTTACATTAGTTTTTTGGTTATTTGCAACAATAATAATTAAAAAACTACAAGACGGAGAGAGGGAAGTGGAAACATGACGAAATGTGCAGTGGGGCGATCTGCTCATGTATCGTGACGACGATTATGATGACCTGCGTTGGCCTGGCCTGGCCTGTTTGCTGCTTAAGCAGTTGTCCACTTGTTCAAATTATTCAAATTCTCAAACAGAAACGTCAAGAGGCTGCCGGAAAGCGGTGCCACGTCGTTGGCGTCGGTGTCGCGCCCGTTAGCGCTGCTTTACAGTTATCATCGCTACCTCTGAGAATGAATACATTCAGTCTTAATTGTGATAGGACGAACATTACTCTCCTGCGGCAGGTCGGATGGGAAACTGCCGCCCTCCACTCCGTGTGGACCAGAGGTCACTTAAGGGGATCTCAAAGGTCATCGTCGTCATCGTCGTCACGATCCATGGGCAGATCGCCCCGTAGCTGTCCACTGCACGCTTCGTCATTCGTTTCCATTTTCCTCTCTGCCTTGTCGTACCGATACGCTCGAGGTAGTGGCCACATCGTTCTGGCACCAATTCTTCTTATGTCGTCATCGTCATCGTCAAGACATTCTCTGTGAGGTCTTACTTTCTTTCAGGTTCCTTCCATTTTTCCCCGAACAACACACTTTACATTTTCCTGTTGTCCATCCGACATGTGTGTCCAAATTGTGCCAGTTTCCCTCTCATCATCATTGCCTCTATCATCATCATCATCAGGTCGTCGTCTTCAATGGTGCAACATTTTTTTCCTTCTGTGTTGGTCACTCTTCGGGCCGAGTTTATATACGGTATCTTGCTACAGCAATACATTTTAAATGCCACAATATCTTATCACTGCCAGTCTTACTTTTCACTGTCCAAGTCTCGCAGGCAGGCAAAGCTGTACTGAACACGCATGTTCTTAACATGTTCAGTTTGAACGGTAGCACAATGCCACAATGCAGTAGACGCGCGATGGGCTGTGATGCGTCCCAGGGTCGGCGCTGCTCGTTGTTTGCAGAGATTCTTCTCAGTTCGAATCCAGTGGCCACCCTGGTTAATACTGCGGGCGTGTAATAACCGCGAGAATGATAACTACGCGCCGTCAAGTACGGCGAAATCATCTCGAAGACCCGAGTTGGCGTGGGGAGGCCCTCATCCAGCAGTGAATTTACAAATGGGATTTACATGACGGGGTAATGATGATGGTAACATATCTGGATATTTTTGGTAATCTGTAAAAAATTAGTTGGTGATCAATCTATTGGATGGTATAAGTAAATTACCCTTGGCTTCATCATTCTCTCGTCAAACTACAGTACGAACAGAGGATCGCAAGAGTCCTTCAAATGTACATTCTGTCAGTTCAACGCTGAAGCCAGATTGAGAGGGCGGGCGTGGTGGTAATGCTCGTGCCTCACGGCAAGACGGTCCTGGGTTCGATTCCCGACCCGGGCACTCTTCTGTGTGTGGAGTCGTCTGAGTGTTCTCTGCATGGGGTTCCTTCAGTTTCCCCATCTTAACTCCAAAGTTCAAAACGACGCATCCCAGGGCAACTGGTAATGGCCGAAACATCGCAATGCTGGAAACAAATTTACCTGCACATTTTCTCAAATTAAACATCGGCATCGTCATCAGCAGCGGCAGCAACATCGAAAACACGACGGTAGGACCCTCCTGGGAACGAATCTTGAGACTCAGGCTTTTCGAGGTGGTTAATATACAACAGCTAAAGTCACGGCGTGAAGTCCGTGACCCCCAAAGACGCCGCAAGACGTCACCGTCCCCCCCCCCCCCGCGCCTCGCCACGCGTTTCGTCGGCGCCGTTGTCGTCCTGATTGCGGTGTGATGAAGATTCCGTATCGAATGAGATTTTTCATAATATAAATCAAATCTAGAACATAATTCTAGATTTGAAGTTTTCGTGACTGCAAATGTAATGGGTTCCGGAGACACTTGTAGAGGTAACTTCTTTATTACAATACAACACTCCAACAGTTCTGATAGTCTGTTACAGCCTAGGTAGACAGCCTAGGTAGACAGCCTAGGTACACAGCCTAGGTACACAGCCTAGGTACACAGCCTAGGTACACAGCCTAGGTACACAGCCTAGGTACACAGCCTAGGTACACAGCCTAGATACACAGCCTAGGTACACAGCCTAGGTACACAGCCTAGGTACACAGCCTAGATACACTACTCTGGCTACGCTCTGGGGTCCTCCGGCTACAATTACCCTAGGGGAGGCTACCTGACTCAACCCAGCCAAGGTGCGGGTCTGGACTCTGGCTTCCTCGGAACTCGCCGCGTGATTTGCCGTTCATTTTTGGTCTAAGTATGGGGGGCGGGGGGGGGGCCACGCCACCGCTCCCATAATTCTGGTTGGCGACGCCGTGCGTGGCCACTTGGTGTGCGCGTCGGCTGTGTGCGTGCGTGTGAATGTAGGGGAAGCCGGTAGTGTAGCGGTTTGTGCGCTGCGCTGCGAACCCGGTGACCCGGGTTCGATTCCCGCTCACGGCAAACACCAGTGACGATTATCTGAACTGGTCCTGGGCCTCCCACTAGGTCGACTCGGTCTCAGATGAGTAGCTGGTGCGGTGTGTTAACATCGCCACTGGGGAGACAAAGGCGGGTGTGGTGCTGGCCACCCACCCCCTCGTGTGCCGTTCCAGCCTTCATCGGTGCTCACTGACAGCACTTTCCCCAACAGTCTGTTAAGGTTATATATATGTGTGTGAGATAATTCCTGTAGACAGTGTTGTCAATTGACGATGCATTCATGCTAATTACGCGTTTGCTTTCTTCACAGGAAAGAGCACGAAGCCTTCAAAAGTAAGTGAAACGTTTTTTTAATACAAATGTTCACGTTCACTGGGATCGCTTTGTCGAAAATTTTTACCAAAACGAAGTTTACGGGGTAGACGCTCACATAGGGGGGGTGTGTCTGTAAAGCTGAAATCAAGGAATGAAAAGTGACGCATCGATGTGCCGTTGTTATCTGCACGATACCCTGAGCGTGTTGGCGATAACCTATTGAAACCAAATATAACGCAATTTCAACAGTCGAGAATCACCGGTGGCGCCACTGGCCGTGATCGGTCCACTGCTTCTCTTGGGGGTCCGTGAGCTTAATCGACCAATTGATCCAGCTGGATATCATCGTCAACATCGTTACTGCATCATCATCATCATCATCTTCCCTACTGCATCATCATCATCTCTACTACATCATCATCATCACCATCATCTCTACTGCATCATCATCGTCAACATCTTTACTGCATCATCATTATCATCTCTACATCATCATCATTTCTACTGCATCATCATCATCTCTACTGCATCATCTCATCATCATCTCTACTGCATCATCATCATCTCTACTGCATCATCATCATCATCTCTACTGCATCATCATCGTCATCTCTACTGCATCATCATCGTCATCTCTACTGCATCATCATCGTCATCTCTACTACATCATCATCATCATCTCTACTGCACCATCATCATCATCTCTACTGCATCATCATCTTCCCTACTGCATCATCATCATCATCTTCCCTACTGCATCATCATCATCTCTACTGCATCATCATCATCATCTCTACTGCATCATCATCATCATCCTCCCTACTGCATCATCATCATCTCTACTGCATCATTATCATCCTCCCTACTGCATCATCATCATCTTCTCTACTGCATCATCATCCCTACTGCATCATCATCATCTCGACTGCATCATCATCATCTCGATTCGTCTTCACCACTACTTGACCGTGGTACGATGCCACATCAGCTGCTGACGTGGCCAACTCAAATCCCAGCGCTTCCCTCCCATCCCATTCCTGTTACGTCAAGGGCCCCGTTAAAAATAACAACAACAACTCCTCACCCCTGGGGGACCCACGTGCCTCTGCACCCTGGGATCCCGAACCCTTGAGCGTGACCTTGGTCAGTACCTGCAGCCAAAACATTCGCTCGCTATCTGGCTCCCCCCCCACCCCTCGCCCGCCCACTCGACAGCGCTCGCTAAACCGTTTACACGAAAACAATTTATTTTATTTTACCAGGTGAGGCCCACTGAGCTGTATTTTGCTCTTTTTCACAAGCGATCTGGCTACCACAAATCATTGCTCAACGAAATGATCGCCCGTCCGCTTACCAGCGCTCGCTAAACTATTTAAACTAATAATGTTTTTTTTCTATAATAGAGGGTTTTTGGGTAAGATGTGTCGGTAAACCCGCCACCACCCTCCACAGCCAATTAGTGAGGTTTGTCACGTTCAACAAAACATGCCAATTCGTTTGATTTAATAATAATACTAAACCAGGTAAGGCCCACTGAGCTATGTAGCTCTCTTTCACAAGCGACCTGGCCACAAATGATAGCTCAACGGAAGTGGCTTATCGCGTGGAAATTAATAGCAGCCAAATACTAATAAACGCGTGACGTCGATTCTCAACGCGGAGGGAAATCCACGCAACCACGGAAACTCCACATATACAGCAGCAGGCGTCAGGGTCGGGATCGAACCTACGACCTCCTGCGTACCAAGCGAGGTAGTTCACTTTTAGCCACCAGCGGCCACGCTCGTGCACACACAATACAATGGTGTGGTGGGTACGGACAAAATTACGCTTTTGCCTCATCTAGTTCCTTCCTTGCGTGCGCGCGCTCCGTGTTCCTGTTGCTGCTGTTGTTGCTGCTGTTGCTGCTGTTGTTGCTGCTGTTGCTGCTGTTGTTGTTGCGGAGTAAATTCTTGGAGTACGCGGAGAGAGCGGCGTGCAGGTGTGGTGGTTGACGGCTGGCCATGAAGCCCGCGGGATGTTTCTGGGAGCGGTCTCGTTTCGCACTCACCGGCGTTTCCCGGCCGATAACCGAGCTGAACCAAACTCTTAATTTGGACTGCTTTTGGGTTCTACTGCAAATCGATACCTTCGCAATTGGTCGGTGGTCTGTATATATCGGTATGTAATTGTATTTGTAGATCAGTGTCCCTGTCTTCGGATGAGATGTGGAAGGTTATGTATCGGATAGGATGAGGATTCCGTGTTGGATGGAATGAAGATTTCGTATCGAATGAGTTTTTTCATAATATGGGATGAGGATTACATGTCGGATGAGACGATCATTCCAGATTTGAAGTTTTCGTGACTGCAAGGATCCATACGCTTTGTTTTTTTCGGTAAAGTCGCGTAGGTGAAAAAATAAATAATAATAATAAAATGAATATAATTAGTTGTTTTCATTTATAATTATTTTATTTACTTATTTTCACCTATGAGACGATCATTGTGTATCAGATGGGATGAGATTTGTGTATCTGTCAAGGCAAGGGTTCTGTATCGGATGGGACAAGGGTTCTGTGTCCGTCTAGACGAGCGTTTCGGACTGTGGGCAAATGGGAATTTCCGTTCGCGGCTTCTGTCCCGGAGAAGACGTAAAGCCACTGCAAAATTTTTACCGCACCACCCCCTCCTACCACTGTCTGACCCCCCTCCCCCATCGCACTCAAACCCACGTCGCTGCCTTCCCCCGAGCCTCTCCGCCGCCGCTGCTGGTACGGTCACGTGCGGTGGCTTCACTTCCTTTTGCCGCTGACTCGGCAATTCTGAAAGCAGCCCCAGGACTCGTGGCGGCCGCTCCGACTCTCCTTAATGAGAACATAACGATCGATCGCTCGATCACTCGATCGCTCGCTCGCTCGCTCGCTCCCGCAGCTGCCAGGCGGTTGCACCTCCGTTGCCAGCCCTCGTCGGCGATCATTAGCAAGCGTGCGCCGTTAATTTCCCCGTGAAACATCGTGATCGCGGTGATCGGCATCGTCGCGGTTGTCGTCGGCGGTGGCTTTGGAGACGTTAACCACCTCGCCTGGTGTGCAGGAGGTCGTGGGTTTGATTTCCGACGCTGACGCCTGCTGTGTGTTTATCAGTCTGCGTGTCTCTCTCTCGCTCGCCCCGTGGTCGCGTGGATTTTACTCCGGACCCTCGGGTGTTTCCCGCTCCACATTTAGAATGAACATCACGCGTTTAGAGTATATTTTTAGGTGGTAAGCCATTACATTTGTATCAGTGGATACACATGTATAACATCTTTGCGTGATCCACCAATTCTAGATTTGAAGCTTTCGTGACTGCAAGGATTCATATTCTTAGGTTTTTTCGGTAAAGTCACGTAGGTAAAAAATTTAAATTAATAAAAGTAAAATAAAAATAAAATAATTTTTTTGTAATTAAATAAAAATAAAATAACATTTAATTTTTTATTAAATAAAAATACAATTTTATTTTACTTTTATTATTTTAAATTTAATAATAGTAAAATAAAAATTTATTTTTATTAAATTAAAATAAAATAAAATTTTATTTTTATTAAATAAAAATAAAATTTAAATTTAATAAAAATAAAAATTTATTTTATTTTTATTAAATAAAAATAAAATTTTATTTTACTTTTATTAATTTCAATTTTTTACCTACGTGATTTTACCGAAAAAACCTAAGAATATGTGATCTACCAACCCCCTGCGGCCCAGTTAATCGATTGCGCAGTACCGCTCACGGCCGTGGGTTCATAACAGTAATAACAACAGCATGAATAATTAACGATGAAGGGAAAACATGCGATTGACGTGACGTTAATACGGGAGCAGATTAATTAATAAGTAAGCATTCGGGACAAATGCGCTTCAATTATTTAGCGGCGGGAGCGATGGACGTAGGATAGGAGGAGGTTTCTCCTTTCCTCGTTGAATGAGTTTTAGAAATGTTTTCCCCGTAGCTCACGAAACCCGAGAGCACGCGGTGTCCACTGCCATCGCTCGCTCGCGGTGACAACATGCAGACAATCACCAGGCGACGTGGCTCACCGTGCGAGGAGTCTATGGGTCTCTGTGTGAGTCTGTGGCTCTCTGTTTGTGACTATGGTTCTTAATGTGCGTCTACGGTTTTCTGTATGAGTCTGTGGATCACTTTGTGAGTCTATGGGACCTCTGTGCGAGTCTGTGGCTCTCTGTGTGTGACTATGGTTCTTAATGTGCGTCTACGGTTTTCTGTACGAGTCTATGGATCACTTTGTGAGTCTATGGGTCTCTGTGTGAGTCTGTGGCTCTCTGTGTGACTATGGTTCTTAATGTGCGTCTATGGTTCTCTGTGTGAGTCTATGGATTTGTGAGTGCATCTCTTTCTGAGTCTCTGGGTCTGTGGGTTCTCTGCGCGAGTCCGTTATGAATATAAATATATTGCTGATCAACTCCTTGCTGTTTGAAATAAGCTGACAAGTCGTCATTAAGCAGGTTGTAGAACACAACAAACTACTTTAAATCATTAATATCACTTAATATTTTCCCCCAACTTTATCTCGAGTTGATTTGAAGCCTTCGTGACTGCAGGAATCCATACTTTTTGTTTTTTTTTCGGTAAAGTCACGTTAGTAGAAAAACAATAGATGACGACGTTTCGGTCGCAACACAAGCAATCGTCATTAGCAGTTTTTTCTTGCTGTGGTTGTCGCACCTGATGACGTCGTGATCTGTTATTTTTTATACCTCCGTGACTTTACCGAAAGAACCAAAGAGTATTTATCTCGAGTGTGCCGTCGGCATCGTGTCTTGAGATCAAGATATCGATTGGGAACCCGCAGGGTAGTAGTGCAAGCCTTGTTGTTGGAGAACGGCCCCCACGGAAGTGGACACTGCAGAGCTACCTTTGAGATGCCTTCCAGCTACCTGTGATCCACACAGTCGGAGCGATCACTCTTCCACCCCCTCTGTCTTGGTGGTCAAACCGATACCCATGAATGCCCATCATCGCACCTCCGATTAGCA